TATATATATATATATATATATATATATATATATATATATATATATATATATATATATATATATAGTGCATTAGCACTTAGGAAGAGTTACTCTAGGATAGTTGCCACACCACTCTCTGGTGAACATATGCTGGAGCCAGAAATGTGAAATTGATCATGGTTAATATGGAGGTATTAAATTAAAAAACTAGAACAGGCATTAAGCTACAATGAGAAATCTAAGCAGATTCTATTTCCAATTGTGTCAGATATAAAAGTTTCACTATCATCTTAAAAGTATATGTGATGTCTCACGCAGATCAAGCATTTGGTTTGATTCTTTTACAGAGGGCATTGTATACTTCATAGATAATACTTGTGGCGTTCTGGCTTATACTTGATGGTTTTTAGTGGTTAACAACACAATCTACCTAGAGTCCTAGATGGTCCACTTTTCCAATGTAATCTAAAGTCATTCTTGTTATCTAATCAAGTCCGACAAGGTCTCATCCAGTTCAACTTTTCTTTGTGAAAATTTCCTGCCTGCAGTCTGTTGCAGGTCAAGCGTAGAGTGTTTGCATACTAGTGAGACTTTTGTATGTTTTTTTCTTTTCCTGATTTGCAATATGGCAGATGATGGCAATTGAATTGGGACCATACAAGATCAGAGTGAACTCAATATCACCAGGACTTTTCAGATCTGAGATAACAGAGGGCCTCATGCAAAAAGACTGGCTCCACAATATTGCATTGAGAACCATTCCCTTGAGAACACATGGAACATCAGATCCGGCTTTGACTTCAGTGGTGCGTTATTTAATCCACGATTCTTCAGAATATGTTTCAGGAAACATTTTCATAGTAGAAGCTGGAGCTACTTTACCAGGTGTCCCAATTTTCTCATCCCTTTAGTTATAGAGAAAATTGAATTTGTTCTGTTGTACGTAAAAGTATTATCATACAGGATCTGAAGGTAAAAAGATAGAGTATTAAGATGTTAAGGAAAAATTGATCTGCTTCCATCAATTTTATGTATTATTCAATTTGTAAAATGAACTGTAGCTTGAGATCTTGTTACAGTTTGAAGATATTCTTGCCTAAAGAAATTTTATGCTCTGGTTTGAGACGTTTAAAGTAAACAATTAATGCCAGTCTTCTCTTTTTCATGGATTCTCAAATATTTTATCCCAAAATGGATTTTGGCTACCCCGATGCCAAGTGTTTGTGTAGCTTCATCATGAAATTGTATTATTAGTTGAATGACGTAAAAGTTACTTTTTTTTTGGTAAGGTTAAGAAGTTACAAATCAGACCATGTAAAATATCAACCAAGCAGGAGCAGGATCAGGAGACATGCATTTTTACGCTGCTTTTCATATTTTACCCCCGTTCTTAAAAACAATGAAATATAACCCAGCAGTAGACTCGTTTCCATCTTCACGCTTGTAATCTCTCCTCCTCCTCGTTCAGGCTTCTTGGTTGATTTTAAATTTCTTAACTAGAATACGGTAGTCGTCCTATATTGTAACCTAACTTGGACGAAGTTGTTCAATTTGTTAGTCTGAGTACTTGGCTTTTCATGTTCCATTCACGTTATTTGATGGCAAAAGATTTCATACAATTCCAACACTGGTTTGAATTGAAGAAATTGGAAGAGAAGTAACACAAACTACCCGATAAAAGAGTTACAAATATACCAGGTAAAAGAGTTGCAAATATGCTTGGAAAAAAATGTGAATGAGGTCTGATGAAACTTGTGAACAATTGAATACCATATGCAAGTTTTGACTCAATGTTGTAAACAAGATAGGTAGAATAGACAATATCAAGTTTTGGACGTATGGCAAAATTTGTGAACAATTAACTTTAAGATTGCCCCATCCTACACAATTTTTGAATAATTTAACAAGATAGATAGAACGAAAATGGCACTAAGATTTGATCGTTCGGTAAAACTTGTGAATAATTGAACACATGCAAAATTTGCTCATCCGGCGAAACATCGTCATTGTTTATTGTTGCGAGGAGTCCTAACAAGGTTGAAATAATAAATTATATCTGATGTTTGCTTAATAGACAGTTGAACCAACAGAACTATAGCAACTAAATGTCTAAATCATGACACAAAAAAAGAGAGCTAACTATGATATGATTAAACTGATATTTTTATTTAATTTTGCCGTGAAGGGTAAAGAATTGGTTTTGTAATACAAAAGGAAGTTGTGGATGCAGAACAAAAACTGAGTTACTGTCAATAGACTAATCATAATACTTCATATAAATATTAGAGGATTCGAACAGACCTGGGTCAAAAGAATATAAATTTGGTAAAAATCACATAAGAAATTACGTCATACTTGAAAAATGTGTCTCGACTTTTATAATAAATAGAGATAGTATCAATAAATCTATTTTTCATGACTCAAAAATAGTCAATTTTCTCTAAAATGCCAAGAGAAAAGATTATTCTATTATAGTATAGCCCACAAGCAGCCCATTTCGTTATGGGCTTTTAGGAAAGGGCTCAACTAAACGAGTAAACACAAGACCTTTTCTGGTTCTATTCCAACGAGATATCCCACACCGATCACAAACTGAAGCTCTTCAGACTTGATATCGTGGAAGCTCAACAATGGTGTTCGTCCCTTCGGGGACATCCGATAAAATTGGAACGATACAGAGAAGATTAGCATGGCCCCTGCGCAAGGATGACACGCACAAATCGAGAAATGGTCCAAATTTTTTTTTGCCTTGCCGGCGGCGATTCTCCGGCTGAAATTTTTTCCTCACTTATTTTTGCCGGTCGTCGTCGGCGGTGATGCACTCTTACGAGGTTTCTTAAGGTCCGTAAACTGTTCGGATTTTATATCATTCTGTTTAATTTCATGTTTCCCCAAATGGCGATAGGCTTATTACTGTAATTTTTGTGAAATTCACTCGTGAAATCTCAAGCATTTAGGAATATGAGCACCTAAGGTATATTCCCACTCCATAGGCAGTTAGGGATTGTTAATGTCGATGGGATTCTGATACTGCATCATACATTGTTTTGGTATCTTTTTTATAACCTATGATAATTAGTCAAAGATATATTACATCATAACAGAATTAACAAATAGGCATGAGCACATAGTATACCAACAGTGAAGTACTTCCTTGCAGCGAGAAGCCTTCCTATGGCAAAGATGAAAGAAAGGGACTTCAATCGAAGGAATGATTCTTTTCAATTAAGTTGTACGAAATGTAGAGATATGATCCTTTTCTGAAGTCCTCGCGATTTAAGTTACAAAAGAAGTTTTTCTCCTAGCATTGTGGCAGCTTATACATAATTATGCATTTTGTGGGATCTATCCCTGATTCCCAGAAGATAGTGGAAGTTGGTTCAACAGATGGACTGGAAAACGAGAAGACAATTTTACCTGCTTAAGTGAATACTGAACTTATTTTTTTTTTTAAAAACTAACTTATAAAATTGCTTGTCTCCGCAATGCAGCCTGTGGTCTAAGCCACTAGTTTTGTATGTTGAAAATTGGTATGACTTTTGTGTGTCCGAATAGCGTAATCAACCATATGCTGTTTATCGAGTTCTCCTTGAAGGCATTTGTAATGCGGTAAGATAATTTTATCCTTGCACATCTTGCGTTTATCTTTTTTCATGTATGTGTTAACATCAGAATGTCTAAATGGCTAATATCATATGGCACGGGTCAAACAAAATGGATTAGGTTCTATTTACCTTTGCCTCGCAATCCCCTAACTTCCTTCCTTAATGATTTGATCTGAGAGAGAGGTGGTTTAACTGTGATTCTCCTAATTCTCAAATTATCTATTTACCACGTGAGGTGAATCAGAGTAGGTAACTTTTTATTTCAATCTCAGGTTTTGCAAAACACCTAATTGAATTGTTAATGTGGAATTTATGCAATATGTTTGCTTTAAGACTTAAATGATATGGTACAATATATTTGTCGATTGTTTTTCTTGGCAATTCACAGTGGATTCCTCTGGACCTGGAGGTTGTCCATATGCTCAGGTGCCTCTGGAAGTGTGACTACTGAGGATGTTGCTTCAATGCTTATTGGACTAGGAGTGAAGACAAATGTTGATCTCAGAAAGCTTGTATTGGCTGGAGACTTTATACTTTATTTGCAAACATTTTTCGGTCAGCCTTCTGGTTCTGTGTTTGCCCTTGAGCTATAAGCAACTGGTACTGCCTAAATCTTAAGGTATCTCTAATGCCTTTGGCATGTCTACACTACATTTCCATTTTGACATGAAAGTCCCTCTGGACCAACTGTCACTGTACCATAGCATCGTCTTGTGTTGTTCAACATCTTGGGTTAAAGAATAGTAGGAAAAAGAGGGTAATTTTGACATCTTCAGAAGTGCAGAGAGAACGTTATCAAGTGAATAAATACATAAGGGGTGATTTTGAAATAAATGTTCTTAAAATAGGACGATAGTGTTCAGTTCCTGAACTTTAGGACTCGAAACGGTATTTTACACTTGTAAGTTCTTTCTCCCTCATCGAACAGAGAAGGAGCTTTACGGCACAATAAAAACCCTAGCTCAACATGGGAGTCCGATAAAATTAGCATGGCCCCTGCGCAAGGATGACACGCACAAATCGAGAAATGGTCCAAATTGTTTTTGCTGAGTTTTTCCGGTCGGCCGCGGCGATGCTCTCTCCCGAGATTTCTTGAGGTTCGTAAACCATTCGAAGTTTTCCTTGTCCCTTTTTATCTTCTGTACAAAATTAGTTGACGGGGATAGGCTTATTATGCCCTAGTGTAATTTTTTATTCTGATATTAATGTTTTTGTAAAATTCACTCATGAAACATTTATAAATATGAGCACGTACAGTATATCCTGCGTGGTCCACATTTATAAATATGAGAACTTACAGTATATCCTGCGTGGTCTTTTGTGTTTCTTCTCTTTGAATGTAAATAAATCTTGAGCCAAATTGAGTGATCGTCTAAGTTGCACGGACTCTTCGATTTTGGTGCCATCCCCGTCCCGATACGAGACGGGGACGGGAGCGGGAGCGGGATACGTCCCGGATTCGGTCAACTGACTTCGGACACTTTGACCAGAGTCCATCGACAAATTTGGGAGAAAAGTTGAGATTTTGATTTCTCCAAATCAAAAATAAAACAGATTTAGGAGAATGAAAGAATAATGTCCATCTTGGAGAATGAAAGATTGAATTCTACAATATTCATGTAAGTTTTTCATAGAACATCTCTCAAAATTTACAATATTTCTATAGCTCTATTTTTTATTAGCCGAATCCCCGCACCCGTATCCATATCCGGATCCGCACCCCGAATCTTAAAATTTAGATTTTGCCGAATCCGATACTCGGATCCGTCCCCATATCAGATACCCGCACCCGAGTCCGAGCAATTTAGGTGATCGTACTTTCTTTAGTTTTCATTTTAGCATATAGTGCTCTGGTGCCTGTATTGCAACGGTCAAATTTTAAGGGTTGAGACTTCAAATGTCTCTTTATGTTTTTGGAATTTTAATAAATTGACTGAGAAGCGAAGAGTTGAGGATTATTTAGAGGAATTTAAAGCACTGAGAGCTCAAATGTTGGTTAGAAATCTTGCTTTGAATGAAGCTTATTTCTTATCTAGTTTCATAAGAGGGCTTAGGGAGGAAATCAAGCTGTCCGTAAAATTGTTTCGACCTTCTACATTAAGTCATGCTATAGAACAAGCTAGGATGCAGGACAAGGCAATTGAGCCTATTCTTAAGAAAAAGGGGAATGATGCTAAACACTGTAGGATCAAAATACAACAATCAATAAATTCGGTTCCTTGCAGTTTACTTCCAAAGTGAGAGAAGCATTTAAACCTATTATTCAGCAAGGAGTATACGAGAATGACAGAAAATGCAAGGCTACTCTAGATCTCAATTTCCTGGTGTTGAAATCATGGAAAATAAGGAGCAGAAGGTCTTCGATGAAGGTCTTAAAAAGATAAAACTGCAGATATCTCAAATATTGATGCTTGCTCCAGGGAATATAAAACAAGTAGTGCCGTAAAACGTATCGCAGATGCAAGCGGCCAAACAACTTTCTGGAAGTAGCTTTTTTGCCTCCTTTGATTCTATATTGGTGGATAGCCCAGTGCAAAGCAAGCTCAAGAGGTACTTTGGTTTTGATTTTAATTTATGTAATAAAAGTACAAAAATTTTGGAGGAACAAAAGCACTATGGAGAACTGTGGCATAAAAAGTTATTTCTGATGGATCAAGGGTGTTGTCCTTTTCTTGAGTTATTTCAACATTAGATGAGGAACTGTCGACACGTGAGACTTGGAACCGCTGTGAAGCTTGTTAACTGTAACCAGTTACCTTTAAATAGTGAAGTTTTAATATTAATTGGACAGAAGTAAGATATTGAAGCTTCCTGTAAAAAAGTGGGAACTGAAGATGTTATGGAAGCTCTTTCGAGAAATAGTTTTAATAATGACATTCTATGGTTGTTGAATGCTTGGACTTTCATCACGCTAATTCTGGTTGATGTGTTCGTTTGCTCCACGGAATCATTTATTTATATTTTACATGGATATGCAAATGCCAAAGCAGTGTCATTCCTTTCATTCTGAAGAAAATGACGCAACTATTGAGGTAAAAGGCCCATTGAATCACTGATGTTTATCCTAATTTCTGGGATATACCGTGCGCTGCTAGCGCTCTGGTCGCACAACTCTATGACTGTGCGATCGAGAGCTTGTCAGGTTATACCGCAATTCGGATCCGCAAAAATTATTTCAAGGCACAAAGTTAGAAGTTGAAGGGTAGAGTACTCCATCATCAGAAACATTTAATCACTTAAAATGGCAAGTTCCAAAGATTAGTACACAACTTTCGATGCTATTGTGATGTGGGCATATTCTATCTATGCAGTAGATAGTCCCACACCGTCCAAGACCTGTAGCTTTCCAGAGTTTATATGGCGAAAGTTCAACATCAGAGTGCCAAATTTTTTTCGCCTCGTCGCCGGCAGTGATATTCCGGTCCCAAAAATTTTTTGCCAGTTGTCGTTGGCAATGCTCTCTCACGAGATTACTCAAGATTCTTAATCTATTCGGAGTTTATTTCATCGCTTTACTTTCCTGTTTCCCCAAATTCAGCTGACGGTAATAAGCATATTATTGTGCCCTAGTTGAATTTTGCATCTGATATTGCTGATTTTCTGAAATTCACTCATGTCCCATCTGAAATATTCATGAATATGAGCACTAGAGGCATATTCAATTCCATGATCTTTTCTTTTTCTTAGGCTTGAAGGTAAATAAATATTGAGGAAAAGTTGAAAGATCATTCTTTGTTTAGTTTTCAGTTCATCATAGTGGTGCATGAATTGCAATGCTGAGCTCTTTTAAGGTCATCAAGAAACTTTCGTGGTGGAGACTCAACAAGCTTATTACCAATCTCAATGTTGTAATTACTCAGATTTTAAGTACAATCTTGGTGATATCAACGTATGAATAAAATCTTATCTCATCCCAAAATAAGTTGTTACAGTCTAATTTGAGGAGCAAAATTGTGTCCACACCTAGGAAGATGATTCCGTATACTGCAAAGATCAATTCTGACGGTTAGAGTGGACAGAAAGGAACCACAGAGTTCCAGCAATAAAGCTTCTCTATTCTTTTTTTTGGTACATTTGTTGGTGCAGCTTGTTCTCTCTGGAATTTTGTTCTTTCTTTCCTATGTAGTTAAATTGTTTTGAATGTATCGCTCTTGATACTTGTTTTCACAATTTACGACCTGAACATGTTGACGACCCAAAAATTAGTGAATCGTTTGCAGGATATTCATCTAAATTGGGTTACATATGAAATAGGCAGGGAATGTAATGATTAAGAAACACACAAATTATAAAATTGGTCTTAGGTCATACACACTAATCATGAACATTTTACTGAGAAAATTCTTGATGCTTCTTTATTTCTGGAATTGTTTGGAACTGTCATTCAAATAAATTGTTTGAATGGCGAACATTTTTCTACCTTCAATCTAATTTCTTTGTTCTACTACTTCGTCCTTCATGACTAAATGAACCAGATAATCTTGTTGGGGATGAACTCAGTCATCTATTTGGCTGCTTGAAATATTTTTCCTACATAAACTAGAATTGTGGCAAGAAAGCCCTTTTAAGGTTCTTATGGGTGCAGCGAGGGGGTTGTTAATGAGGATATTGTCGATGGGATTGTGATACGTGTATCATACATTGTTTTAGTGGACTAAGTGTGCGATTAAATTTTCGTTACGAGAATGTTATTTCATAAAAGAATTAGCAAATAGGCATGGCTACATGGTTAGCGATCCACTTTTGGGCAATGTCTTTTATGCATCCTGCTATTATTTGAATATTGAGGAATCCATGTCTAATTCGTTGTTAAATTTCTATGTGATTTATTTGTCTGCAATAAAGAACCTACCACTCTAATTTGCAGTTATTCTAAGTCAAGTGTGTTGGGGAGTATATGTTGTGACCTGCTGCATCAGGTGTTAAGTTAGCTTTTTCTCAAGTTTCTTTCTCTTCCAGTAGCCATCGTGTCATCTTAATAACTACCCCCCCCCTACCCCCCCCCCCCCCCAAGCTCCTAGGGTTGTTTGAACAAGAAGTGGTTCTTTTGTATTCTTAATTGTTATTATAGCACCTACGGCATGTAGAGGATGTTAAAACAAGGTAACTTGCTGTTTGTTAATGTTTGTCAATATTGGAGTATTTAGGTTGCCCGACTTTTTTTATCTATCGAATTGCTGATCTAAGTTGTAGGGGATCATAGTTGTTTCTGAAATTCTTGCCATTTAAGTTCCTTGAATTTCCACAAATTACTTATCCAAGTAATGCGGAAGCATAATAATAGTAATGCAATTTGGGATTTAACCCTGATTCCCGAATAAGAATAGATGTTCAACAGATGGACTGAAAAACGAGATGACAATTTTACCTAATGAAGTGAATTAAGAACTCATAAAATTGCTTGTTTCTATTGCAGCCTAAAGTAAAGATAATACAGTGTGACCCATTGTTTAAGCTACTAGTTTTGAGAAAGTGACTTTTGTGTGTCCTACTAGCATAATCAACAATTTGTTGCTTATGGAGTGCTTCTGGAGAGCATTTGCAAAATAATCTTCCAATGATATTTTATCCTTGAACATGTGCATTTTTACTGTCATATATGAGTTAACATCTTGTTATTCCATGTTAGGTCATATTCAAACATGTAAGACAATCTTTCAATGAGGAGTATATGCTTATAGTTGCTTTTAGACTTTAATGATGTACAAATTAATTGTCGATTTCCCGATAGTGTTTGTCTTGGCAGAGTCATAGTGGGTACCTTTGTATCAGGTATTGGAGGTTGTCCATATGCTCAGGTAAACCTGAATATGTGACTACTGAGAGGATGTTGCTTCCATGCTCAATGGACTACAAGTGAAGTCAGATGTGGATCTCAGAGAGCTTACATTGGCTGCAGGAGACTTTAACTGCAACCTATCTGGGGGGCTTCTGGTTCTTTGGTTGCCAATTTTTTGAGCCCTGAGCAACCGGTACTGCCTAAAGCTTCTTGTATCTCTGATGCTTTTGACATGTCTATATTGCATTTTTGACATGAAAGTCACTTTGGACCAACCCCACTGTACCGTCATCGTCTTGTGCTGTAAAACATACTGACTCTGGCATGCATTTCCAGGTGAGGACTGCACGAACCCTCCGTGTTGCATGCAAAGTTAGGGGAGGACTTAGAAGAACAATTATACGTATGGATTGCCTTGTGGAAGAGAGAATCATAATCGTGCATGGGTTGGTAATTTGTAAGACGATAACAGTATGAAAAGGTGAAGGAACTACTATATCTTTATGGAGCAAACTCATTTTAATGTTACTGACTTAGATGCTTTTTGAAATAAACTTCTTATATGAACTTGTATTGAGTCGATGAACCCGTAGGTGATATTGGAATGATGGTCAGGTTAGAATGTTAGTACTTAATACTAGTCTCTAAGATGGTACAAAACAAACTAGTATTATCATAATTGTTGAATACAAGCCATTGCTTTATCCACTGCAACATGTTGTTGGACCTAAGGATAATACATTGCAGCATGTCAGCTCCTGGGGTTTATTTCACGAGGCATTTACATGTTCTTCAAACTTGTCTAAGAACTGTACATAACATTTGTTTCCTGCTGAGGAAGTATACGATTGTGGGTAGTTTGATTGAAGAGTCCTAGTTTATGGCTCTGCTCTTCTGAATGTTTACAGCTCATTTATTGCCTTCTCACAGTGCACTTTGGAGATGTCAGTTCTTGAGAAGTTTGGTTCAATAGGATTTGGAGTTGCTCACACTTTTGTCCTGAAATTATGTTCAAGAAAAGATTTGTTAATAATTTTTTTATTCACACAAAGATGACAATGGTATATTATTTTCTTCAACTTCTAGAGTTTAGAATGTCATTTACGAAGCTAACTTTCATAAACTATATAGAGAAGTCAAAAGAGCAGTCAATTAGCTTTGCGTAGAAGGAAAACAAAAAAGAACTAAAAAACCAAAAAGTAATTGCTGTATTGATAATTTATACTACATGAACTAAAGGAGAGAAGCCGGGGTCTATCGAAAACAGTCTCTCTGTCCTTCTAAGGTAGGGGTAAGGTTGCGTACATCTCATTTTCCTCAGGCCACTCTTGTGGGAAAATACTGGGAAAAGGGCTAAAGATACCTCTTTACTTTCGAATATTGTCTACATTTAACTTTTGTTATACTATTTGGCCAAATTTACCCCTCTCGTTATACTATTCGGCCATATTTACCCTACCATCAGCAAACTTTTAAAGATTACCCGCAGTCTGCCAGGTGACCCAGAATCTCCCAAATCATTTTAATTAAGTCACTTATTCTTTTTCTTGATCCACTATATTCGAAATAATTGGCATTTACTCGCTTTCTTAATTGGAAAAAAAATAAGATAAAGAAATATTAAAATAATACAACGGTTAGTAAACAAAGTATAGTAAATTGAGGAATCTAAATTAGGTAGCTTGTCTAAATTTCAAAAGTATTTACAATATCCCAACTTTAATGAATTTGTTGCACCAAAGCCCAAAGGTATGGAGACTTTGTAAATATTAATGATAGAAGTTGAAGTTTCTCGGAGAATTTACATTGTCGAATTTAATTTTGCTTTAATCAAATGCCTACGCATTGTGCACTCTTAAGTTAGTCGATCGAACTCTAGACGAACCATAAAATAACAAAATATATGTGAATATACATGTATATACATGATGATCAACTGCAGATAATACACAGTAAATAGACCCACTAAATTATATGGTGTGTATATGATTGAAAAATAAATAAACTTTAAACCCATTATCACAAAAGAGAAGTGAGTACATTGGTAATTAAAAATATCCATGAATAATTTGTGTAGTCTAGTACCTTTAACATTCACATCAATAGTAATTTCTGAAAATAGCGGAGCAAGAAGAACAACAAGTGATTTAAATAAAAGGAAATTGAGGGATTTTGGATTACTTAACAAATTAAGGGGTAATTGTTAAAAGTTTGCTGATGGTAGGGATAAATTTGGCCGCATAGTATAACGGTAGGGATAAATTTGGCCCGATAGTACAACTGAGATTAAATGTAAACAATATCTGAAAATAGAGGGATATATTTGACCCTTTTCTCTAATTTAATTGTCGGAGTAAGACTGATACTACTGTAAATTCTATTTATTTTTACCTCACCCTTACTCAAAAGGATCATAGTGCTCTTTGTTAACCTTTGTGTGACTCGAACTACTGGCCTACTGGTGTTTGTTAGAGTCCTCGACGTTGGTTGAAGGAATGAAATGTAGTCTCCTTGGTATTAGGCAATCTTAACATCTTGAATTAGCTTTTTGAGCTGAGCTAAAGCACATATCAATTTTCTTTGCATGTTATCAAAAATCAAATGTATCCAATTATCCAATATTGCGCCTCATTCTATGTTATTAAGCTCCACTTGGAACGTGCGGGGTGTTATAGAGTGTTGCATATTCGTGTTATAATATTTTGATAAATCCTCGACTCGTTAGCCTTTGAAAATTGACTTAGGCTCAAGATCTATTTTTTAGCAGCATTGAACTCAGAAGTTTTGACCAACTAGTTGAATATAAGTGTCTCAGCGGAATGATCTACCATTAATGTATAGTCAAGTCAAATTTACACGACAATAACAACAATGGCATATCAAGTGTGATCTTGCAAGTGGTGTCTATGGAGGATGAGATGTACGCAGACCTTAAGAGAAAATTCCAGTCCTGGGCTCAAGAAAGACACAAGTCAAATTTACGTTCTATTTAATGTGTATATATAGTAAATTTGTTTGTCCAAAAAATCCATGGAACATCATAGTCATAGTGCTCTCACAACATGTAAAGTGGTGGGATTCAACGCCATGAAGGCAAGGGTAGAAGATAAGGATGTGACAAATGCATAGAACCAAAAGTAGATGCATGAGTAGAAAACAAGAAGTCTTATGAGGAGTGCCGTAAAGGAAGAGGATATTTCTTTTCATCTTTCTTTGGCATCTTTCTCCCAACATTTTACTTTGGATACAAATGAAAGAAGAAGGTTAAAACAAAAAAGAAGGTTCATTTTCTCATTTGTTGCGGACTTATGTACAGGCCTTGTATCCATGCTTTACTATATGGGGAAATAGATTAAAGCATATGTAAAGTTGGAGAGGTCCTCTCTCATGCAGCTATTGTTAATGTGTCCTCGTAGACTATTTTTTATAAACCTGAAATCCGGAGGGTCGGAGGAGTTCGGTTTGAACTCTCGGTAAATATGGGCTTGCCTCTTTATTATTTCTGCACTTAAATAGGCGTTCATCTATGGTTGGATTTCGAACCCGTTATCCAACCGACATATCAGGCGTTGAGCTCTTATTACTATACCTAAGCCATAGCGGCAATGTTTGGTAGAGCATTATGCTACATCAAATAATCTTGTCATAATTAATATATCTTGTCCAAAAGCTTCAAGCAAAGCTATTTGGTACCCGTGCAAGTGGGAAGTAGTAAATTCCTGATAGAATAGTTGAGGTGCGATGAGCAAGGAGACCATCATTGTTAAAAAGTTTAGTATATCTTATCCAAGTCTTTATTTTTCAAAATTTCGTGTCAATTTGTATCCAACTCTCTATTACACTCGACAATGGCGTCTCATGTCATATCATTTTCTCTTTTTATGTCTGTGAAATTTCTTATGGAAGATTGATTTTTATTGAGTTTTTATAAGTCATTGATGGGATCTGCAGCGCACAGCCTACCAGCAATAGAAAAGGACATAATGCAGAAAGGACCAATACTGTCGCAGCAACAGAGGATTATACTATGTCAAGATGTTACTGAACAAGAAGTTTATGATTGACTAATGTCAATTGGTGATGACAAAGCCCCTGGTGTTGATGGATTCAATGCATATTTTTTCAAGAAGGCATGGAAGATCATCCCTCATGAAGTTACAACAGCTGTTATGGATTTCTTTGCCACTGGGAAGCTATACAGAGCAATCAATTGTACAGCTATCACCTTAGCTCCCAAGACTGGCAAACCTAAAACGGTTAAAGAATTTAGGCCAATTGCATGCTGCACAGTGCTTTATAAGCTTATTTCCAAGATTCTGGCTGCTAGAATTCAAGCCGTTATCTCTACTGTAATTAGTGAAGCACAGGCTGGCTTTGTACCTGGTAGGAGGATATCTGATAATGTCATTTTAGCACATGAATTGGTCAAAGCCTATTCTAGGAAACACACCTCCCTAGATGCATGATTAAGATAGATCTTCAGAAGTCTTATGACTCTATGGAATGGCCCTACTTGAAGCAGGTTATGGAAGAGCTAGGATTTCCTAAATTGTTCATCTCATGGGTTATGGAATGCATACAAATTGTCAACTATTCTATCCTAGTTAATGGAGAATATCCAGTGCCATTCAATGTTGCCAAGGGCCTCAGACAAGGTGATCCAATGTCACCTTTTCTTTTCGCAATTGTTATGGAGTACTTGAGTAGAAGCTTACATGATCTTAAGACAAACAAAGAGTACAACTATCATCCTAGGTGTTCAAGGCTCAAGAATACTCACTTATGTTTTGCTGATGACCTCTTGCTATTTGCTAGAGGGAATGTGAATTCAGTTGCTGCAATAGCTCATAAATTCCTACATTTTACAAAAGTATCTGGGCTACAGGCTAACCAAAGTAAGGGTGCAGTATATTTTGGAGAAGTATCAACAACAGTGCAACAGCAGATCTTACAGCACTTGGGTTTTACCATAGGAGACCTACCTTTCAAATATCTGGGAGTTCCTCTATCTACCAAGAAATTGAGTATCATGCAATGTCAATCTTTGATAGACAAGATGACATCAAAAATAAGCTCTTGGACTGCAAGGAAGCTCTCATATGCTGAGTTCAGCTAGTCCAAAGTGTTTTGTTTGGAATACAAGCTTTTTGGGCTCAACTTTTTATTATTTCTTCCAAGGTGATCAAGGTCGTTGAAGGTATATGCATATCGTATGTGTGGTTAGGTACCAATGTGATCACAAAGAAAGCTTTATTAGCCTGGGATAAGGTGTGTCTACCCAAAGCAGGAGGTGGGATACATCTTACAAATCTACAAATCTGGAACAAAACTGCTATAGCTAAAGTACGCTGGGATTTGGCTTACAAGGAAGATAAGTTATGAATCAAGTGGATCCATACCTACTAGATTAAAAATTAGCAATTCAACACTACCCCGGACCCTCAACAGGCTTGCTGGATGGTCAGGAAAATATTTGAAGTTAGAGGTTCTCTAGAGAATATTATAATTGCACAGACGACTAAGAAGAGCATAATCAGGCACATATACTTTCATCTACTGGAGGGGGGGGGGGGGGGAGACTATGCCAGGGTTGAATGGAAAAGCATCATGTCTAACAATGCTGCACGACCAAAAGCAAAATTCACACCTGTGGCTATTGATGCATGGAAGACTACTGACAACTAATAGGTTAAGCAAATGGGGTGTACATATGAATACACAGTGCCTTATGTCAAGAGTGGAAAGAAACAAAAGAGCACATGTTTGTACATTGCATATATGTAAGAGCTATATGGACAAAACTATGGCATTGGATACAGTTACACGAGCCTATCGCAAGAGGTTGGAGTGATTACATTCAGTGGGTTA